AACCGAAAACCCTTTTCCTAAAATGTATTTCATTATTAGCAGTCTGAAAAAATTTTAGATTTTATTCACATAAAGAATGTTAAAAGATCAAAATTTTCATAATAAAACTATATTATCATACTATTTTAGACATCTGTTTCTTAATTTACTTGCAAATTAAATCAATCATATTTTAATATTGATTATAATGCTATGTATAGCANGTATTAAAAATCATAATATGTAGAAATTTCTTTTCAATTAAAATTTAAATAAAATAATAGAAATAATTGTGAAATGGTTTGAATTAATTTCAATTAAGCGTCAAAAGCAATATTCTTAAAAGAATACAATTTTTATAGTCATATTACTCGGAGAAGCAAATTTCCTGGTGAATAAATCTCTTAATATACATTCAATGAAAAACTACAAATTGAAATGTCAGTTAATTTGAAAGGAACGTAGTGAATTTGTTTAAAAATTTAATATGTCGCAATAAATTTTTAAGATTTAGAATTGAATAGTAGGCATGAAAACGAAAAGGAAATTGTTGTTATAAATTGCAATATCCAAATACAAATTTTCAACAAGAAGCGCTTTAACTGACAGTACAAAGTCTCTAAATCTGATATAGAGATATTTATCTTTGTCAGACTATAGTAATAAAAATATATTCATTTCATCGGAAAAACTTCAAAATCATATTACTTTTTATTAAACTAAGTTATATTTTAATCTGCCACAAAGATTGAATACGAAATTACATCCATTGTTTGTTTTTGCTTTACTAATTAACGTGTTATTTTCACTGTTTACTATATATATATAAATCGTATATTTTTTAAATAATTTATTATATAATTTAAATATGCTATAAATGTAAATGGATAATTTCAACAGCGTTAACTCACAATATATTAAATATTATCAACTATGCTTTTTTACTTGTTTGGGTATTTAAATTAATGGCGTGCGCGAATAAAATTATTGAATTACTTTATAAGGAAACTTGAAAAAAAAAATTCATAATAATCTTACTCTATTCGATTTAAAATTTAGTTTTTCCATTCAATTATCTTGTTTTGGTTGATATCTTCCAATTAGTTCAGCAATTTCCCATAAATCGCAAAAATTCCGAAATCGATAACGGTGAGAAAATGAAGGTACTCGCAACTTCTTTTCATTGTTATTACCAAGCGAAATTATTGCTAAATTGAAAATGTAGACTGAAAATCCGCTAGTTTTGCATTATTACTTGCAAAAAAAAAGGATCATCTTAAGACATCCGTCATTAACGTCGTTCGGAAATAATATCAAGTTTCTTCTTTGAATATTATTTTCAGAATTTTACTATTATAAAACATTTATTTAATGTACTCATTCTTTTAATATTAAACTAAATTATTTAATACAGTAACTAAACTCTGTAAAGAAGTTAAATACGAAAAAAAAAAAATAGCGAACATTTAAATATTTGAGTAGTAGAGATTCGCAGAATGTTCCTTATTTAATAGCAAAGAAACTTCGATATTAAAGCTATTACTTTAAGCCTTCCAATCTTAAATACTAATAAAAACATTAACTTCGGCTATTACAAAATAGCACCTTCGGAAGCCCAATATTTTCTTTTATAACCTTCTACCGAACAGTTTACGAACCTTAAAATTTTTCTTCTCCCTCTCCTCTATAATAAGATAACAGAAAAAATTTTTATTATTCAGAATACGAAATCGTCGTTAGATTATTGTTATGTTCCCCTTTTTTTTCCCTATTTAATATCGATATAAAAGTAAGTTTTAACATTTAAATTGTTTTATAAACTACGCATACAATAACCGATAACGGATGCGGAGGAAAATTCCCTTTGTGGTGAATAATCTTAATAATTTCGATTGCCATTAATTCCATTCCTGCAGGAGTAGTATTAAGTGTTACTGATAAGTACTGACTATGGTAACCTAACAGTGAGTCCTAACTGACAATTATTTGCTCATAAAACTATGGCACGTTAAAAGAAGCGTAAACATTTCTAGATATTGACCCTATAGATTTAAAACTTATGTATATTGTTAAGTAAAGTGAGACAAACTTTTTACTACGTTAAATCTTTTGATAAAAAAAATTAATCATTTGTAAATGTCCTACCCGAAATTATTCAAACTAATAATATATTTGTAAATATATACAATACGAAGAGGGGAAAAAAATGAAACTTGCTATAATGCCTTTATTCAATCGATATATCGGTTACAAAGCTGAAGTACAGTACGTTACCTTTCACTTTTTCTTTTTTGTTTTCACAATAGAATAACGTAAAAACCAAACCATTTATACTCGCGAGATCTATAGAGTAAAGATATCTAAGATTAAATATTGAATTCGAATTCGATACTAGGCTATAGTGCTAATATTTGTAAGAATACAGTCGAAATTCTTCAAAATACTCGAATCAATTCAAAAATCTATAAGGAAAAATTTCAAATAGATTTTTACGTAACATCAGAAACTATTTCAACCATTAATAAAGAATAGACATTTTATAGATTGTTATTCTTTTAAATAAAGTAATCGTTTCAACTGGTGTGTCACGAATTTCTCATAGGAGTGCCATTAAAACGTCAAAATAATCATTTTTAAATTGTTTCTCTACCTTTTATTATTATTTATATATTTTAATATTTAAAAAAGCATAACTTAAAAATTACTTTTAGTTTATATATGTAGGAGCATCTTTGATGAGATATTGGTTCAATGGCGTGCCACCGAAAATGGTACGTATGTCCTAATTATTTCATTACTTCAATGATTCTCAATCACGATGATGGAATAGTGTCATAAGAAAAAAATAAATAAATAAATAAAATTTCCAGGCTACAGGTACCAGTTACTGACAGTTTATAAATTATATTATCGAGTAAAGCCAAAAACAAATTCTTCATCAAACTATATATTTGAATAAGAGTTACACTCTAGCACGCAATTAACTTCCAGTATAGGTTTGCGTCAAACAGAATAATTTAACTTATTTTCCGCTTTTGTTACAGGTATATTTATTACGTGTCGTGCAATTGCTAACTTTTCATTTTGTCGAAGGTAGTAAAGTGTTTCCATGCTTCTACGCTGAGTGGATGAGGACACGAAATCAGAAAGTAAAAAGCTGGTCCGCAGGGAATGCCTGATGTGGGACACACTTTAATGCCAGAAAGTATGAAATATCGCGACGTGTAAAATTCTCTCTCCAGGTGGTAACATGGTTGGAATTTCTTCATCAACTGAGTGAATCTAGCAATAATAGAGAATGCATCGGGAGGAGGTCTGCGCCACATGCGTAACAGGTAGTACAATCACAATTCTCTTTTTAAAAACACATAGCTTACCTTAAATTATTATAAACAGCAAAGGATTGAAACCGTTAAAAATGATCGAAGTTAAATATCTTTTTTACAGAGAACTCTTTTCATATCTTAAAGAATATAATCAACGTCTAGTGATTTTCGAATCGTTTTCTCTCCTTCTCTATTCATTTTTGACCATTATCAAGATAAAAATATCATCCCACACAGTTCGATGATATTTCATTTCGAACTTTAATTTCTTTGCCATATTAATGAACTCGCTTTACAAAATAAATTTATATGTCAAAGCTTAATCGCTTCTTAAAATAATAGTTTTTAAAATGAGACATTCAATTAACAAAAATTAGTATTTTGCTTCTCTTTCATTCTAATATTTTAAGAATCAAAATATAAGAATGAAAAATCAACCGAAAATGGCAAATTCGGAAAAGGAAATGAGATAAAGTTTTCTATTAGATTTTAGGAGTGTAGTTTAGGAGACTTGAGTCGAAATATGAGGACGGCGTGTGGTTACGGTTAGCTCCACCCTTGGGTTTATGCGGTGGGTCATTTAAGTTCTGAAGGACATAAAACAATGCTAGAGACAAAAGCGTTACCTGACTGGCCATTAAATCGCCAAAAGAGGCATCAGGTTCAACTTTTATAATCAGTCTTCGAGATGATGCAATACACTTTCACTTCTAAACTTATATTTTACAGAAAATTTTGATTTTTTCTTGTAAAATCAAAAACTTTTCTTACAAATCAGATTACACAAAAGTAATAACCTAAAGTACAAAATATTTAATCTAAAATCTCTTTTTCTAATAAGATTCGCTCATTTGTTTTTTCAGAAAACGCAAATTACAAAGAATAAATGCATTCTCATCCAAAGTTTCTAATCTGAAAGATACAGTCATTCAAAACTAAATGCAAGCAGAAAGCGTGTTAATTATCCATTAAAACATAGTAAATCTTTATTCTTTGAGTGAATAATTTGTGCATCGAACTACCAGATCATTTATGTACTCATTAAGCCAGTTGAATTGATTCGACTGAATGAATCTCATTTATCTTTGTTACTCCAATGTAGTTTGTGCGTTACCCAATTACCAAGTAAAATCAACTTTTCGGATGTCCATCCTCAGATACTAACAGAAGATTGCCTCGAAGCATGCATAATAATGCGCACGGTTTGGTCTTTTGATTCCGTAAATCGGACGCATAACCCCAACAGGACCACTGCCAAGTGTGGTCCACACCCACTTTTGACGTCACAACCCGTAGTTACCAAGGCAACGAACTCACAGGAGGGTGGCAGGGGGGTGCAGTGCGTCATATTGAAGTTTGAATTAACGTGAAAGAATATAGGTGATAAGCACTTTCGAACATTGAAAATCGCAAGTTAATAGCCATTTTTCCAGCGCAATCAAATTAAGAAAGGGAAAGAAAGTTGGTGTATGATATTCGCAATAAACGTTACGGAACTCCAACGTATATTAGTGGAAATTGCATGCAGGAGCAATAACATAAACGATCGTGTATATAATGGACGCCATATATAACTGTAAGGAGTAGAAGGATTACTTTAACTCGATTACGAATAAGAAAACGAAAGGAGTAAAGACGTTTCACTATAATTCAAAGGCATAAGACTTAAAAGAAAGAATTTTGGAAGACCCTTACCCATAACACCATCGGGTTGGACCAAGCTGACAGAGCTGCCCACTGCATCTCGTTGGCCAGCATTCACTCTCACTTGGCTCTGTATTTACAGGAGGGGAGGGGGACAGTCTCGGGAGGCCGGCGTCGCCGCTCCTTCCCTCACGACCAACTATAACGTGTGCGCGCTTGTATGCAGTATAGACACAGAGAAGAGAGAGAGTGGAGTGGAGCATGCCAGCGCCGACTGCACAGACTGGAGCGCACTCTGGCTGCGGATCCTGTCGGTATGTGGATCTTATTTAATATCAGACTGCTACTAGTCCCACCCGTGGGACAATTGCTTCTGGTATGATTTCGCCTGTTCTATCAAAAGATACCGTTCCGCTGCGAGATCATCGCTGATTGGTGTCATGTTCCGAGTGAGATCCAACTAGAGGCAGAAATCCAGAAGAAAGGAAACGGTAAAGGTAATGGTTTAAGGCTAGTTTTGTCGTCGGAATATCGAATATTCGGCGCATGCGCCCCCTCCCACTATTTTCCAACAATTTCTGATGTTTAAAGAGAATAAACAGTTGGCGGAAAGCGTTAAATCTAGCGTGTCCAATTCAACAACCGTCATTTACCTCACCAAATTCATAAGGTCACCTATCCAAATATCTAAGCCGCATATTTTAAACATTTCTTAAATGATACCAGTAGTAGTTGTTGTTGTCGTAGTAGTAGTAGCAGCAGTAGTAGTAGAATAAGTAGTAGTACTAGTAATAGAGGAGCTATAGGCACACTATTAAGGGAACCACGTCAAAAATCGATATCTGGCTGTGCAACTGCCGAGTTAGATTCGTTTAAAGAAACACAGGAACGGATAAAAGGTTTGGACTATCTTCGAATTAAATTTTAACTCAATTTATCTTCGTGTAATTAAGCCGATAGTATATATACTCCATTTTTATATCAATTCTGGATAATTATAATCGATTGATGAAATTTTATGTCGTAAGGAGGATAAATTTCCATTTTTATTCTCTAGCATTTTGTGTAAGTATACTTTTTTACCTCTTAATTATAATAATTCATCTAAAATACCCATTATTGAGCTCTTATTGCATCTCGACTCTAATTATGTCATGGAGCGGTCTCCAATAATTTAGATTTAACGAAAAAATTGACGGAAGGTACGAGATAAGATCGTCCGAAGGCAATTATTTTGTACGCTACCGTATTTCGAAGATACTATTTGCCAGACTCTGCTTCTCAAATCAATACTTCGAACAGTCGCGATGTCAAAACACACTATGCAAATTATTTTATAACTAATTTTCGTGTTTACTCAATTTAGTTTCGCTTCCGCCAGTCGAAAATCGCTTAAAAACTGTTTTAAAACGATAAATACAACACAAATTTTTAGATTTTATTGGGTTTACTATACGTTTCATTGATAGTTCGAATTGAAATTTCACTCGATAATACTAAAAAGAAAATTACCAATTATTGACTTTTGAAATTTTTGATTAGAGGTCTTGAAGTTTTTTCAAGTCATGTGGAAACGATTTCTATTTCCGTATACATAAAACCTTATAATGACGTCAAAGTCTTTTCTAACAGTGACATTATCTCAGCACGATGTATTTACATTACGCCGTAAAGAAAGATCATCCTTCAAATAAAGCTTTACACATCATTATCCAGGACTAGTACACATACCTTCCGAAAGACGTAATTCTCAATATCCTATGCAAAAATTAAACAATAGCTACTTCACTAATAAAACTTCAAGGGTATAATATTTCTATGTTAACTCCAACTATTTTAGCTCGAATAAAATTATATTGATATTTTTACAAGAGTTTCTTGTTTAAAAAAAAAAATAGAAATAGTGTCTAATTCTAGTCTAATTTGTGTGTCAAGTAAAGTTTTCGGCGATAAGAAGGAAAGAGATGGGTGCGGTTTATAATGCGACATTCGGGACTGGACTATTTCAACACGCAAACCTTCTTCTAAAAACTTGTATTTCTCCAATTAAAGAATATTCTTTCAATTAAAATACTTACAATGTATTATTATTAAAGTTAAATAANAATTAAAAGTTTGAAACTGATGTAATATTTAAATTTTGAAATTAAATTTTCTAAGCATAAACAAAATAATTATTGATGACACAGTATATATTTTCTACTATCAACAGGAAAATATAAATACTGATATATAATAAATTCAAAACAGCCTTAAAGTTAACTTTTATTGACATTAACTGTTTATTTTACCAAATATTTTATTTTTTCCTAAAATTACAATTAGAGCTGTCATACTTTAAATATATAAACATACTGTATATTGCATTACTTTTAAAACAATGTGAAATTTTAGACATATATTTCAACCAAAGATATTTATATGGCAATTATAAAATTTAAGATATAAAATTACTTGTAAACAATACTTTAAATTAATAAAGTTTTCTGACAATATATAATATTTGTTACAAACTGATTTAATTAAGTATTGAAGTATAAAATAAAATAAAGTAAATGAAAGAGTATAACTTATACTTAATTTGACAAATCATGACAGACTGACAGTACAATGTATTTAAAAATTATATGAAAACTGATTATTTTCTTTAGTTTTTCATGTATGTTTAAAGTCAGTAATAATTATAAAATCAATAAATTATACAAACCAAATTTTTTTCACATAAATTAAATTCTAGTGAACAGTAACAATTATTTTGAAACAATATCATTATATAATAGAGAGGTAGGGCCTACTAAGAAAACCACAATAAAATAACATGTGTTATTAATACTTAATGCTAAACACTTTTATGTATAAAAAAAAATAAAGTACATTACATAATAAATAATATTAATTAAATTCATGCATACACTTATTGAATAAATATTTTTTTAAATATGATTTTATCATATAATATTTTTAAGCAATAATACAGATGGACACAACAGATGATGTATTACTACTTCATATTTTGAATAAACGATTTCAAATCCACATTTTGTATTACTTGCGTCAAACTAAAGAATACATGTTTCTGATTTAATTAAATTGTCCCTATCACATGTTTACTTATTGTCAAAGTAATAATAAAAAATATGTGATGCATTCAATTTTGTAAATGCTTCACAGCTTATATCCAGTAGAGAATACTGTTTACATTCTTACTTTTTATATGATTTTACCTGTTAAAACAAATATAGTTTAGCATGTTAGTTTTTAAATATTAGTTTTTTATTTAAATATTATAAATGTTGTATGTTTTAAATATGTCTTTTATTAATATAAAACAGTTAATAATAATAATAAAATAGTAGTACAAATGTTGAAAATTTTTATATTACAAGAATTTTAAATAACTAATAAATTTCAACAAAGTTTCTAATCCAATTTTTAAATCATATAAAGCACATTAATTTATATATACAGTTCAAGAACTGAATTTCATTAATAATTTTTCAATTTTAATACATTTTTTAATAAGCAATACTTAGACTACATATAAATGATTATCACACATTATTAGTTTTCATAATCTAGTGCAAGAAGAAATACTTAATGTTAAAAATATTTGGCCAGATGGCCGTGCAGTAAGATGTTATCACACTGCCATGGAATTCTGGACTCAAATCTCATATGAGAAATAAGGTATAATTTATCATAAATAGTTTTAACTAGGCATCATTCTCATTCCTCATCCATGCTAGTTGACTCTATTGTGAGTCAAGCCCATCCATAATGGGCATAATTGTGGCTAGCCATAGTCTAGATTGTATTGGTGCCTTTAGTTAATCAATCAATCAAAGTTAAAAACCATAGAGTTTATGATTGTATCAGTAATATATAATATTCTACAAATTATAATTTAGTTCAAATTAATCTGCCTATATTTAAAATTTATTGAATTCCAATGCATTATCATTTAAGTTTTTATTATAGGAAATAAATTAACTTCTAAATTTGAAAATAAACTTGTTTTATAATCATCATCAGATTTCTTACTCTGGAAAATCTTCTGATAATGAAATTAATTTAATTCTGAATAGTTTAAAAATAAAACCAGTATAGCTCTTAAAAAAAGTTCATTTCCCATAATAAAGAGCTTCAATATAAAATATAAATTGTCAGAAAATTAAAAGTTGAGACATAAGGTATTAATCTAAATATCTTAATTAATGTAATTATCCATACTTCTTCAATTTGATAAACTATATGATGACAGAACAAATCATTAATTACAATTAACCGAAAACCCTTTTCCTAAAATGTATTTCATTATTAGCAGTCTGAAAAAATTTTAGATTTTATTCACATAAAGAATGTTAAAAGATCAAAATTTTCATAATAAAACTATATTATCATACTATTTTAGACATCTGTTTCTTAATTTACTTGCAAATTAAATCAATCATATTTTAATATTGATTATAATGCTATGTATAGCAAAATCTATATCATAAATATCTTGCAGTTAATTAAAACTATATACATTTTAATCAAATCTTTTTAACTGACTTCTATTTATTTTTTTTATTTTAATTAAATTCAAAATACTAAAGTATTTAAATAAATTTTCAATGATAAATAAAAAACCAACTAACTAATTTTAAATCATTCTAACAATACAGAAAATCAATTAAAATTGATCCAATAAATTAAATAATTTTTCTTATATAAAACCAGGATTTATTCTTGTTTATCCTGCAATATGGTTTTATTTCTTTATCTTTTTATTTTAATGAAATTATCCTTTTGTCATCAAGGAAAACTATTACTATTTTACATTAATCTTACTACAAAATTTTAATCATTTGATGATAATACAACTCTAAATATATAATAGATTGAAATGTAAAAATTAAAAAAACTATTCTGTTTTAATTCTATAAATTGTATAAATGAAACAATTAACTAAATGTTTATAGTACTTAGTTTTGTAATAAAATGTTAAATGACGTAATAAATATTTTATAATATAGATCTATAAAATTGTAAATTTTAGCACAGACTATCTATATATTAAAAAAAAATGCTAAAATTTGTACAAAGATAACAGATTTTTAAAATAAATTAATGAGAACATGGCCTATGAGTAATACATGGTAAAAATATTATCAATTATATCACAAACAAAAATAACTTAGTATAATTATTCTTACATTAACAATAATAATCTACATCCAAACTTTCAACTCCATTACAGTATATAGAACTATCAGACAGGGAAACTTTATACTTATGAAACAATTATTGACAAAGTTTGCTGAAAATATCTATAGAAACATATCCAATGTTGTCATTAATGATCAAAAAAATCTGATAAAACTGATTTGATATATAAATATTTTAACTGATTACCAACATACTACATATAATTTTATATTCTATATTTATCCAGTATTGCAACAGCAACACAGTGACATGAATTTAATGAAAATATCTGTAAAATAACGAAGTGAATCGATGTTTATCTAAAACATTTTTACTCACAACGAAGAAAATTAAGATAAAGTGATAAACATGTTAATTTTTTAAAATATTAAATTTTTATACATATATAGAGTAACCCAAAGTAAAAAGGTAAACTTAAAATACAACAAGTTAACCGTAAACTTGTGAATATAAATGATAAATTAGCTTTGGAATAATGTATTTTTCTTTAACAAAACTGATGGAAGCATGATTAAAAAATACATAATTTAATCTTTATATTTGTTAACTGACTTTTGGAGCAGCTTTTGGAAATTGTGTCTAAAAGAAGCTTTACAAAATTCCTCATACAAAAAGACTACTATCATTAACTATTAATAATAATAAATTATAAATAAAAATTATTCAAATTTATTTTTAAAATGTTTGTAATAATAATAATAAAAATAATAATAATAATAGAATTTACAGTCCCATATCATTTTTTTAATATATTTATGTTAAAATACGAACGATTTTACAGCTTAAATTTAATGTTCTTTTTATAAATAATAATTACTAGAAAAACATTCTCTTAAAACGTTTAATTCGAAATAAGTATTAAAAATCATAATATGTAGAAATTTCTTTTCAATTAAAATTTAAATAAAATAATAGAAATAATTGTGAAATGGTTTGAATTAATTTCAATTAAGCGTCAAAAGCAATATTCTTAAAAGAATACAATTTTTATAGTCATATTACTCGGAGAAGCAAATTTCCTGGTGAATAAATCTCTTAATATACATTCAATGAAAAACTACAAATTGAAATGTCAGTTAATTTGAAAGGAACGTAGTGAATTTGTTTAAAAATTTAATATGTCGCAATAAATTTTTAAGATTTAGAATTGAATAGTAGGCATGAAAACGAAAAGGAAATTGTTGTTATAAATTGCAATATCCAAATACAAATTTTCAACAAGAAGCGCTTTAACTGACAGTACAAAGTCTCTAAATCTGATATAGAGATATTTATCTTTGTCAGACTATAGTAATAAAAATATATTCATTTCATCGGAAAAACTTCAAAATCATATTACTTTTTATTAAACTAAGTTATATTTTAATCTGCCACAAAGATTGAATACGAAATTACATCCATTGTTTGTTTTTGCTTTACTAATTAACGTGTTATTTTCACTGTTTACTATATATATAAATCGTATATTTTTTTAATAATTTATTATATAATTTAAATATGCTATAAATGTAAATGGATAATTTCAACAGCGTTAACTCACAATATATTAAATATTATCAACTATGCTTTTTTACTTGTTTGGGTATTTAAATTAATGGCGTGCGCGAATAAAATTATTGAATTACTTTATAAGGAAACTTGAAAAAAAA